AGCTTTGAGAGCTGTAAGATTCAGGTCTTCTGCATTGCAGAGGAGGAGTCCGATGCTGAGGGCCTCAAAGCCGATGTCAAAAAGTTCTTGTACGATCTTCGAATGCAGGCTGAGGTGATCGTCATAACAATAAAATCATGGGGCGTACAAGGGGATGGCGGGCAACCAGACGAATCGATGGAAGCGTTTACTGCTGCTCAAGGGAGGATTGCTAGTTATTTAGGTGAAATGAAGGCAGCAGCTGAGAGCAGAGGCACCACTCTAATGGCTGATGGGAAGCCTGTCAGTGTGAATGAGAAGCAGGTGGAGAAGTTTCTAGATACAACTCTCAAGTTGAACACGACGATACTAAGATACTCGAGGATGGCTGCGGTCGTGCTCGTGAGCCTCCCGCCACCTCCTGTAAACCATCCTGCATACTTCTATATGGAGTACTTGGATTTGTTGGTTGAGAATGTGCCTAGGCTCTTGATCGTAAGAGGATACCGCAGAGACGTCGTAACGCTGTTCACGTAGGTTTCGGTTTCGGTTTCTCGCTTCAGCGGTAACTGGTAATTCCTTGATTACTGTTCATATTGACATTCCATTTTTTTTCCCTTTTCTTTTCATTTCAAAGTCTTGTAGCATTTTAGATCAAATCATTCTTTGTACTATCCATCACAAATCTTCCCTTTTTTCTCTGTTTTGTATTACCATATTAGTCTGAGAAATTTTGAAATTAAATAGCCATCATTGGGGGTGCATTACAACTTTGGTCAGACTTTTTGGTATTAGTAATTTAATTGTATGCTATGATCTGATCTTCATTTAAATATACCATTCTCATTCTGAATTTTGTTACACTTTTTCATACTATTAAGGCTTGAGGTGTTCACGGTTCTCTCCCCCCATTTCATGCTTCATCCCCACAAAATTTCTCACTATATTTTGTGAAGATTGGGTTCCCCGCATGAAATTATTCGCTGCTTAAATATTTCCTCAAATGCTTAATTTCCAATTATGAATCATTTACATGGTTAAATCTCATCATTTAAAGGGAAAATTCTTAAACTACCTAATAAAAAAGGGTAGGTATAATATGATGATGTTTTTATAATTACATATATAAATGAACACCCTAATTAAGGCTCCAAATTCAGTTTTCTTTACAGTATATTTTCGAAGTTAAAATCTTTAAGTTTATTTGGGAATGGTTGTTTTCCTGTTTTTTAGGATAAGAGTTTAGTGAAAACAGATTAAAGAAGCGCTCTTAGTTCCTGTATTTTCGCTAAAGCAACAATTTAGTTTGTAATGATTTAGTTCCTATACTTTCAAACTAGTAACAATTTAGTCCTTGAACTTTAATACGTAACAATTTAGTCCTTGAAATTTAAAGTTGGTAATGATTTAGTCCTTGTCGTGATTTTTTTTTTTTTTTTGTTAAATTTCTTGTATGTATGAATTGATAAACTAAAGAAGGATCAAATATATTTATGAATTAGAAAGATTAAATTGTTATATGATAAGAGTTGACACTTAATTTTAATTTAAAAATTTACGATAGGGACTAAATTGTTACAAATTTTAAACTACAGGGACTAAATCGTTACAAGTTAAAATCCAGGGACTAAATTGTTACTTTAGGAAAAATACAGGGACTAAATCGTTACAAACTAATGTTCAATGACTAAATTGTTACTTTAGTGAAAGTAGATGGACCAAATGTATTTTTTAACCTAGAATAAATCAAGTTATTCTTCTTTTGAAATTTATTAAGTGTGGTAAATACATTTAAGGTTCCGAATGACAATTATTTTATAAGTTATTCAATCACAATTTTGAAAATAAAATGAATAACACTTTTCAAACCAAGCATTTATGAACTGCTTCTTTGTTCTTTGGTAAAATGTGTCATTATTTTTATTCTATGGCAGGTGTTTTATTGTTATTATTTTATATCTGTAATTATTGCCATTATTTTTAGCTGTTTTGTAGATAAATATGGGAGTTTCTTCTATGTTCACGAAATATCTTACTCATTTCTTCTCAGTCTTCCAATATTGTTTGTTTGATATTGAGCTCATGATCTTGACAATATTTGAGATAATTTTCTTTAATATTAATATTGATTTTTAAAAAATTTGTATGAATCATGTGCAAGAGTAATTTTATAGGAACGGAAGTTGCATGGTTGTTTGGGGAGTATCTAAGACATTAATTTTGTATTTTGGAATTAAAATTTAAAAAAATTAGATAAGGATGGTGAAATAAATAAATTAGTTACAAACATAGCAATAATATTTTAGATTAAAAAAGAAAAAAAGAAAAATGAGCTCAGACTACTTATAAGCATAAATAAGTGATATATGAGAATAAAAATAAAATTACGGTACAAATAATTTGTACGAAGTAGGTGGATAAATTTTTTTTTTTAAAATTCACATGTTTGTAAAATCATAATTTTGTTACTATATTGTAATTTCGACCCTCCATCAAAATTCCTCTATTTTTTTAGAGTAATTATAATGATTCTTTCATGTAAATAATTTTAAGAGATTTATATATACATGTCACCCACAAATTTTAATTCTAGCCCAGATTTTATTTGATTGGAAGTTTAAAAAAATAAAAATAAAATATGTTTTTTTCAGAATAACTTCAAAATATGGCAAAAGTTCCAATTTTATCTTCAATGGTCGTCATCACTGAATTTTTTAAAGCAAAAATTGAATATATTTTCCTATTTAATGTTGGTGGGCAGAATATGACCAAAGCAAATAAAACAAACTGGTCAATTGAAGAACTCCAAAAAACAAAAATAAATAACTCTTTCTTTATTGAAAGCAAAGTACTTTAGCTGCGCTATCTTTCACACGTGAGAACAACCTCATGAAAATTCTTCCTACTTGAACAATTTCAAATTTAATATTGGAAAAAAATAACCCAATATAAACTCAATACAAACTTAACCAATATTTATTTATTTTCACCATTCAAGAAATGGACAGTTTTTTTAATTAAAAAAATATTATCTTTTTTTGTATTTATCTCTTTTAGTTGTTAATTTTTAGTGGTGATAAGTAAGCCGATAAATACCTAAATAACTCATAAAAGTTAAAATATAACACCTCTTATTAAATATTTAACTCGTTGTGAGCTATGATCAGGTTTGTCAGTCAGAACACATTAGATACCGAAGTTGAAATTATCACGTCTCATACTTTTTTATTTTATACAAAGGCTTGCTTTCTGGATGAGGTCAAAAGAAATGGCTTTTAACAATTTGTAAATTCAAAGATAAACCTAATTTTATACTATTGATTGTCATCTTTTTCTTTTCCTTCTTGAAAAGAAAAAAATAAAGAAAATAAGGAAAAGTAGTCAAGTATGTTGTCCATCGTAATTCAAAAAATCTATATAGAAAATTCAAGGTTTTAAATTTTCCTCTAAATTTACCTCTCCTTAAAAAATTTTTATTTTATTTTATTTTATTTTCATGGTTTGTGTATTCTAGTGATTAGGTGGATTTCAAATTTCAACTGTAAGTGTTGCATCATCGGTTCATCAAGTCAAATTTTGACCAAATAAAAAGGTTGAATCGATAATATATAATCTATATATACATACAACCAAGTTGTATAAAAAGTATGCAAAAAATTGGCTTGCCTCGAGTCAACATTAGCTTACATCATCAATAAATCAATGCGGTTTTGAAACAATAATACAAATAATTTTGAAAATTGAAATACTGCATCAACGGCCAGGACGAGCATACGATTTCAAAAAATTAAAATTAAAAAGCCGTCAGTTCAAATTCCAATCTTCAAATGTATCATATTTTGGAGGGTTACCAATTTAGAAGTTTAAAACTAAATTGTTAAAAATTAAAGTTAAGGGACTAAATCAAAAGTATTTTGTTAAGCACGATACTTGTCACACTTTCAAATTTGGTTCATTTTAATTTGTACTCTTATTTATTTTTGTGTACGTAGTTCCGAAACTTTTAAACTTTTAAATTTTTGTATTTTTATTTTCTTTTTTTCTAATCACAGTTGGAGCATAACATTACACTTAATAAATTTATTGAAATATAGTGATAACTTTGTATTATATATATTTATAGTATGAAATTTGTGTTAAAATTTTATAAATAGAGATTAAGATCGTCCCTTTGTTTAACTACAACACCAAAACATATGTTTATAGAGTAGAATGATTAAATTGAACAAAAGTTGTCGAGATTGCATGACTCAAATAAACGTGTTAAAAATATATAAATCAAAATAAACTAAAATAAATTAGAACTTAATACGACCAAAACAGTATTTTCACCTAATGTTTAGATAGTATAAAACAATAAAGTAGTGGACTATTATATGACTATTAAAGTCAATTTTTAATTAACAGATTTTGTTTGATATTATTTTCATCTGAATTTATTGTTTTAAAAAATTATGCGTATTTACTCACTTATTTTAAACCAAAAGTAAAATTTAAAAATAGTTGGAAAGAAATTAAAATATTAACTCATTAATTGATTGCCAAATATAATTAATCTACATTTATGTCTTACGTTTATATTCAAAATAAAGTTCAATGAACTTGGTTGTGTGTGTGTATATATTATATTTTTTTTTAAAGAAAACCAAATTGGATTTAAATCCATATTGGAACTGAAACTAGTTCAAACTTCAAACCAGTTTGGATTTGGATCAAGATCAATACAGTTTTTCTTGGACGACATTGATCTAAAAATGCGCAAAGGATACGAATCTCACGGATTTGCAGTTACGACGTGTCGTATATTCCATTCCATAACAGTGTTTCTGAAACCTCCATTAACTTTTAGAAATCACAGCTGGATATGACAAATGTATCCGGTCACTTACTGCCACATGTCAGTCAGCTGACCATATCCAGGTTCACAAATTACTCTGTACACCGGCTGTCACCGGTCGTCCTCTCTCCTCACTTCTTATAGTTATAACCACTTCCTCCTCTCTTTATTTTTCCCGCCTCCACTTCCGATCTTCTCTTCAACTTTCTTTCAACTCTCTCTCTCTCTCTCTCCCTCCCTCTCCTCGCTTGACCTTAGGTAAATTCTCTCTCTCTGGATCCATGGAGTTAATTTTTTTAATCAGTTGAAATTAAAATGGCGATGGCGACAGCGTTTTTGTTTTTGCTCTGAATAGTGATGCTGCGAAGAATCGAGTCGTCTTATGTTCTGTTTTTTGAAATTTTAGGCGAATGAGAAAAATTCTCCATCTCTCTCCATTAATTAAATTTGTTTGGTTTTGCTTTGTTTAGGAAATTTTCGTGTTCTGAATTTTCTTTGGGAGAGCGTTTCAGTGTGGAATCGGAATGGGGCAATCGGACGGTGGCGGAGAAGGGATCAGGAAGAGATCCTGTTGTGCGAAGGATGATTTTCTTCCGGAGGAGTCGTTTCAGAGTTGGGGAAATTACGCAAAAGCGCTCAAGGAGACGCCGGCCCGGTTCATGGGCCGGCTCACGGCCCGGTCCGCGGAACACACAGAGATCGTGGAGTTGGCGGCTCGGAGCCAGCACGAGATGAAGAAAACGCTCAACTGGTGGGACCTTATGTGGTTCGGCGTCGGCGCCGTCATCGGTGCCGGAATATTCGTCCTCACCGGACTCGAGACTAAGAGACACGCCGGCCCCGCCGTCGTTTTGTCTTACGTCGTCTCCGGCGTCTCCGCCATGCTTTCCGTCTTCTGCTACACCGAGTTCGCCATCGAGATTCCGTCCGCTGGTACGTACTTCTTTCTTCCACCCGCAGGTTTCCACACTTAATGGAAGCAATTATTATTATTAACTTATTCATTTTTATCGTTTTAAGTATTTTTATTTCGTGATTATCGTTTATTAAAATAAAGAGTAGAGAAATTATCATTTCTAAACTTTTAAATTACGTTGCTTCAAATATAGTATATGAGATTTCAAACCCATTTCAAACCCAAAATTCTCTACCAAGAATCTAAAATTTGTTTTGCATCTTCAAATTTTGATAACCATTTTCAATTTACGTTTTTTTTTAATTTTAACTTAAATTTTAAAAATAGTTTAAAAAGAGAGTAAGTAGTTATAAAACAGGGTCTTATAAATTAGTTTTAAGAAAATTTTGATTTTTATGAAATGAAAATTCAGGGAAAATATTGTACTGAATAAAACCAGGGTAAATATGTTTACTAACTAATCATATTATTCTTTATTCTATTCCACCTAGAAGTCAAAGTTTGATTATTATTGAGGACGTCCTTAGAAATAATTGGCCAAGCTGAATGAAATTGAATTTTTTTCTCTTTCCCGATTGAAATTGAATAATGTGAATGCAATGGTTTTCTCTATTGTGATTTATTATTTATTTATCTTGTCGTCGAATAGAAATTTGGCCATCGTTTTCCAAAAAAAATAAATTATAAAATTAGGCTACTTGACTTGTTTAACTCCACAGACAGTTTGCTAATTATTTGTTTAATTAATAAAATAACGTTTTCAAATAAATAAAGAGTAAATAACGTCCACTTTTTCCGGTCAACGCACGAGGTTTTGGATTTGTTTAATTTCATGGATAGTTAGCTAATTATTTGTTTAATTAATTTTAAGTCAACTTGACTTGGATCTTAGCTAATTATTTGTTCGATTAATTTTTTAATTTTTGCTAAATTTTAAAATTCTATGTAAAATTATATTAGAAGAAACGTGATTTTTTATTAATAGGTAAATAAATATAGTTTTAAGAACATAAAACAAAATATTAAAATATTGTAGATTTTACAAAAAAGAAAAAGAAAAAGAAAAAAATGATGTGAATATATAGATTTTTATAAGGTTTTTTTAATAGAAGGGCGAAAATAATCTTTATCAAATATACCTTTATTTTGGACGGAATTGCATTGGATGAAGAAATAATTATACATATTTTTTAAAAATGTTAGTACTTTTATTATTATTAAAAATATGTCACAAATCTAACTTTTTTTTTCTTTTTCATTCTCTGATATATATATTTTTTTGTTTGTTTGAATTCAAAGTATGCTATTTGCATAAAATTTTAAACTAGTTATATTTAAAAATAGTCATTTATTTCACTATTTATGTAATTACCTCTTTCATTTTTATTCTTTTACTTTTTGTTCACCTCTTACATTTCTATTCAATAAAGCTATATCAGATGGTACGCCTTTTATAATAAGATCTTAAATGTGTTGTTAAAATTATAATTATAATGTAGAAGTTAAAGATTTAAGTTTAAAAAGAAAAAAAAAAGCAAAATTTTAGAAACGTAAATTATATTTGAACCTTTTTTATTCATAATCGTGGTTGAAACGTACATTCTATTTCTCCCTGATGATCTGATCCAAGTTTAAAATTGGAAGAACTTTTAAAATTTTAAATTCTTGTCTTACCAAGGAGCCAAATATTTTATATAATAAATCAACCTTTCTTTCTCTTTTCCAAACTTTAATTACGTCACTCAATTTTAATTTCATCAAACGGACAATTCCTAATTTACTAACTTCAATAGATTGAGTTTCCATATCTGAAAATTTTCTGAACCGTTGCAGCGTTGTGGTTTGTGCAGGTGGATCATTTGCGTACCTAAGGGTGGAGCTGGGAGACTTCGTTGCTTTCATCGCCGCCGGCAACATCCTACTGGAATACATAGTGAGCGGCGCCGCGGTGGCCCGCTCTTGGACGTCATACTTCGCGACCCTCTGCAACCGCCACCCAAACGATTTCCGCATCCACGCCCCGGCCCTGGCCGACGACTACAACCAGCTGGACCCCATCTCCGTGGGCGTGATCATCGTGATCTGCATCATGGCCGTGGCCAGCACCAAGGGCTCCTCCCGCTTCAACTACATCGCCTCCATCATCCACGTCGCCATCATCCTCTTCATCGTCATCGCCGGCCTCACCAAAGCCAACCCCAAGAACTTTACCCCCTTCGCCCCTTACGGCATCCGCGGCATCTTCGTCTCCTCCGCCGTCCTCTTCTTCGCCTACGTCGGGTTCGACGCCATCTCGACGATGGCCGAGGAAACCAAGAACCCGGCCAGAGATATCCCCATTGGGCTGGTTGGGTCCATGGTGATCACCACGTTCGCGTACTGTATTCTGGCAGTTACGCTTTGCCTGATGCAGCCGTATGGGGAGATCGACGAGGATGCGCCGTTTTCTGTTGCGTTTGAGGCCGTGGGATGGGGGTGGGCCAAGTACATCGTGGCTGCGGGTGCTCTCAAAGGCATGACCACTGTGTTGTTGGTCACCGCCGTGGGACAGGCGCGGTATCTCACCCACATTGCCCGCACCCACATGATCTCCCCATGGTTCGCCAAAGTCCACCAAAAGACCGGTAATGTTTCAACCTCTCTATTAACATTTATTGTCAGTTTAATTACAAATTTCGTCTCCATAATTTGTGTTTTAAAATTTTCTATTTAATTTGGGTTTTCTTTTTCAACGATTCAACTCACTCTTCAAGGGATTTTAGGTTATTTTCAACCATAGTAGTAGTATTAGTATTATGAAAATTTGACTCAGAGACCTTCTAAGTATTTTGAAAACTTAAGCACCAAATAAAAATTTATTAATTAATAGTGGCAGCATATTATTCACTTATGAATTGCAGGAATCTAAGTTGAAAGGAAGCTTATGCTATTAAGACCAAATTAAGGCTATACTCCTCCTCTCGGAAGAATAATATCTATGTTAAATCACTGATGAATACATATTTAGGCCCTGACTTGTAACAATTTGTCTCTATACCATTTTTACATCATTGCCTCGACAAGCCACTAATTTTATTTGAATATTTTATTTATATTATTACTTAATAATCAGGTACTCCGGTGAACGCGACGGTGGCAATGTTGGTGGCAACGGCGGTCATCTCGTTCTTCACGGAGCTGGGCATTCTGGCGAACCTCCTCTCCATCTCGACGCTGTTCATCTTCATGCTGGTGGCCATCGCCCTCATCGTCCGCCGCTACTACGTCACCGGAGAAACGACGCCGTCCAACCGAAACAAGCTCCTCATCTACCTGGTCCTGATAATGGGATCCTCAACCGCAATCGCCCTCTACTGGGCCGCCTCCGACGGCTGGATCGGCTACGCCGTAGCAGTCCCGATCTGGTTCCTCTCCACGCTGGCCCTGTGGCTGGGCGTCCCCCAGGCAAGAAACCCCAAGGTCTGGGGAGTCCCGCTCATGCCCTGGCTGCCCTCCATCTCCATCGCCATCAACTTCTTCCTCCTTGGATCCATCGACAGGGCCTCGTTCCAGAGGTTCGGGATCTGGTCCGGACTTCTCTTGATTTACTATTTCCTCTTTGGCCTCCACGCTTCCTACGACACTGCCATGGCCTCCACTTCCACGACTGGGAATAATAACAGTAACAGTGTGTGAATTTACTGTGGATACTAATGGTAATGGTGGGGGAAGATTAGATTTATTGGAATTGGTTTTGGAGGTTGATTGATGATGATGATCATGAGCTTGGAAGGCCGTCTCTGATTATTATTTGAGGGAACGGATTTGGATGATCGATTTGGTTGAATATGATCCGTTGACGGTGGGTGGAAGGAAGGCTGTGAATTCGTTGTTATTTGATTATCTATGTGGTGATTTTGTTGGATTAGGGGATTTTATGATTTGTTTGTTAGTACTTAGTTACAGCTACACAGTCGATTTGTTAATATGTGTTGTTAGATTAATATATATTTTATGGTACTGGTAGGAATTTTAATAGGATGGTCCTTTTATAGTTCAAATTCCCATCATCACTTTTATGGTAAAAAAAATGAATTTTATTAGAGATTCGAACCTAGAAATATATAAATTTTAATAATTGAGTTTTTCTAAAATCTAAGTATAGTTAAAAAGTTAAGATATTTATTTTTTACTAAGAATTTGTTAGTTCGAATCTTTCTTTCATATATTGTACTTAAAAGTAAATTTGATATATTTTTCAACCGTGAAAAGGTAATTCTGTATAATTAGAAATACCGTTAAATTCTTTTTTTTTCTTTTAATTTATTACATTAGTATTTTGGTAAATTGGTGAGATAACATTTGGTGGTTCTTCTTCTTTTCTTTTTTTTTTTCCTCTAATTTGAAGTTCGGGCGATTTGATATTAAGTGAAATTTTATCGATTCAAGATGGACAATATTTGTCTCGGACCCATTTATTTTTAGCACCATTAAATTTTTGACAATTCATTATTTTTTTAGAACCTTTTACTTTTGTGTTTCTCTCTTTCAGTTGTCATAACTAGAAATAAAAACAAGATTGGTCGAGTAAGTAATCAAAATATTTTACTTCAAAATAAGATTTTTCACTCTTTTTTTTACCCATGCATGCATCTTCACTTTCATGGTTCCTTTTACAAAGACTAAAGTCAAGTTTGAAATTTCTAAAATATCTATTAAAAATTTATCAAATGCTGCAAGCATGAGAAGTTTAAAGACCTATTAAATAATTTAAAATAGAGTGATCTATTGAATGCTAAAATAAAAAATTTAAAATCAATTAAATACTTGATCTATGACCTAACAAAGAAAAAGAGAAATTACAAAGCAGTCTTACTTTTTTTTATAATTTAATCCATCATCCCATGAACCTATAAATGATTACAATTAAATCCTTAAATATTACAAAAACATACCAACCGTCTCTAAACTACAATAACTGTTATGCTTAAACTATCAAATTATTTTAATTTAACCTTTTTTTTTAAAGATAAAATTTGAAACCTATAATATTAACCACTAAAAATTTTGGTTTTTATATAAAATTGATATTAAAAATTTGGATTTAACTGTAACAATAGTTTGATGCCCAAACATAAGTAAACATAAGTACAATGGTTAAAGGCATCTACTAACTTCTTGAGGTTCAAATTATCCTACATTAGTTAATTTCTTGATGTTCGGGTGACCAACCTTTATAATTTAGGGTATTTTTTGCAAAAAAAAAAAAAAAAGTATTTACAGAGAGTCTACTATATGTATTAAATTTGACACACATGCCGATATCCGGGTCGGATCACGAAGTGTCGGGTTATCAAATCAGACCCGACCCGAATGTTTTTATTCTTCAATGCGTCCGCTTTAGGCAAGGCACAACCCGGGCACCGACTCAGGCGAACTGGCCGGAGAGAGAGAGAGAGAGAGGTATCCTCCGATGGCGGACCTGGACGGCGAAAAGCCGCTGCGGAAGATATCGGAGTCGTTCAAAGAGCTTGCAGCCACTGTCAATGCCGGAACCACTGAGGTCGAGGTTACGCCGTTTTCTCGCGCCTGCTCTTTTATTTCGCCTCTCTTCGGCTGCTTGGGCATCGCATTCAAGTTTGCTGAAATGGACTACGTCGCCAAGGTATTTGTTACTTTCTATCTAAATTATCGATGTATGGAAGATGAATTGATGTGAATTGATTCTAAAATTTCTAGGCTTGGTGCTTGGTATGATCGTCGCCTCGTTTACTTGTAGATCTATAATCACATTTGGAACTAGAAAAGTTAGGTTGTGGAATTAAATATTATGTGCTCCAATCAATGTATGCGTATGGACAGGGAAATAGAAATGAGCTTTAGTTTCGTGTTTTGAATTACATACTACATGATAAATGGATAACACGGTAATAAGCTATTTGATAGTTTGTAATAGTAGGTTCAGTTTAACAATTTGGTCTGTTAAAGTTGTACTGGACTACTGAAGCTGTTTTATCTTTGTAGGAGTTAAGTTAAAGTGCACGGACATCAGTCCCACCTCCAACTGTGAACGTGCGCAATTTCTTTCGGCTAAAAATCAATTCAATCAAATGTAAAATCGTCACTGTAACTTTGTCTTCTATGGAGAATGGTTCAATTCGTGTTTGTTGAGGCATTTCTTGTCGTCACTGTCAGTTCACAAGTTAATGTGCCTGGTGAAGTGCAACAGTTTTAGGAAGATTGTTTTAAGTTGCAAGATCCAAGCCTTCTTCTTTCCATACTCAGCAACCCTCGATGCGTTAAATATAATTAAAATGGACAATATGATATCAATCTTAATTGGTTCTGTCTATGTTTTTTTTTTTTTTAAATGAAATGGCAATGCTTTGAAAATTTGTGATTTACATATTGTTGTCAGATGTTGAGACAGATAGTGATAATTAGTTTATCATCATATTGTCATGTATGATAAATAGACTCTTAAAAGTTAACATGCAATGCATGAAAATCTTATTTGAATCTTTATGAGCCATGTTGGTAGAACCTTACCTGTATCATGTTATGTCTCTAGACTCTCTACTAATACTATGATTCAAGTCAAGCTTTCATTTTTCAGAAACTAAAAACATTAGAAAAATTGATCTTCTTCCTTCTTTCATTCACTCTATTCTCTTCGTGGTTTGGCACCTACAGATGATTAAAAGTTTCAATCGTGCCATTTTGATTGATTGATGTAACAGAATGCCTGGGAAATGGGAATCTTTCCATAAAATCTACAAATTTTTTATGTTTCACCCTAGCAGATCTATTTGTGGGTTCAAACATAATGGGAGGCTTTTTTTCCCTTGAAATTTATGTGTATTCTGTTAGTGTAACTGGCTTGGAACACAGATGGTTGGTATACACATTATCCTGTCATTTGAATATTTCATGCTATTACTTTTTACCAGTTTGGTTCTCCACGTCTGAGGTCTGGTTAAATATAAACTAAATTGTCAACAGGTTCGTGATCTTGCAGAATCATCAAAATCGATTGTATCTCTACAAGCGTTGCTGGATAAAGATATGGAATCTGACTGTGTGAGGAAAGCTGGTAGCCATACAAGAAATCTTTTGAGAGTGAAGCGCGGGCTTGACATGGTCAGAGTACTCTTTGAGCAAATTCTAGTTACAGAGTATGTACATCAACCGCTTTCCTGCATTACCTTTTGCTCTAGTCGTTTCTCTTTCAACGTTTAATGAACACATGCTCTCATCAAATAAACATATGCTTTGCATGAATTTTAACTTGAGCAAGTGCTCTTATCAAATAAACATATGCTATGAATTTTAACTTGAGCAAGCAAGGGAAGGCAAATCGATCAATTTTAACTTCATGTTGTTACGTGGGAATGATCCTTGACATTTTGGATTGTCTTTTCATACTCTTCATTATATTTTAGTTACTGTAATTGAACCAACTGGTTGTTTCCGTGGTCGTCTTGCTTCCCATGTTTCTTTCTGGGTGCATGATCTACAAGTGTTAAATCTTTCTTGCACCAAACGACAAAGATCAAATGTAGCTAGAGTCAAGATTATCTGTTTCCGTTTGAAGCCAAACGACAAAGCAAGTATTCATATCATGTTGAAACCAGATTATAATGAATGCATTTCCACCACACCTATTACTCCCGTCAGATTAAACTTTATGTAATTTGGTTGCAAACATATTGAACAATGGTTCCTGATTATGCAGAGGTAATTCCTTGAAAGATCCAGCTTCCAAAGCATATGCACAGGTATTTGCTCCTCACCATGGGTGGGCAATCAGGAAAGCCGTTGCTGCAGGGATGTATGCTCTTCCTACGAAGGCTCAACTATTGAACAAGCTCAATGAAGATGGTGAGTAGCATAAGTCAATTGATAAATGTGTCTATTGAGCAAGAATTTAATTAATATATCAAATGCGTGCCTAAATTTTTCAAAATAGTGAATTAGTTTTAAATTAATTTACAATTTTTATCACCTGATTGTGGAGGTCAATTCAATTTCATGTGCCATACTGCATGTTCTTTGTGGTACACCTGTTTTGATGTCTTTTTTTTTTCCCTTTGATGTGCCACATTCAGAGACCTCAGCCAGAACCCTAATGCAAGATTATGTAGCAGCTTCTGCTCCTGTGATTCAGTATGTTGAAAAGCTCTTCTTTTCCAGAGATTTGGGTATAGATTGGTAAATATATTTACTGCAATCATAATCTAATCGTTCTGAACATTCTATATATGTAATCTACTATATGCTTAGAAAAAAGGTGCATTCAAGTAGATATCTTCCCTTCTATTAAACTTCAAAATGACCATGAAGTTGTATACTGAATTAATAATTATTGTCGGATGTGAAATTACAGTAATTATTGTCGGATGTGAAATTTACAACTCGGTAATGGTACTAAATTATATCTCAAACTTTAACGGCAGTTAAAATATTTTGAAGTTTAGAGATTAAATAGATTGATGTTTGAAACTTAAAATTATCTGGTCCACTCTTAGATCTTAATGCCTCTTTAGTTTAGTGTATGTACAATAAATTGTTTAGAAGACATGGTATAGATGAATATTTCAAAACACGAGTCTAACTTTTAGAAGTATTTCTGAAGATTTACGAGGCGAAGATGTACTGCAATCATTGCGATTCGAATCGTATCATATATGACAACTTATTTCGAGAGCATATTCATTTACCAATGCTAATATAGCGATGCTTTTATTCATGTGTTCTCTCTTTTAACTTTTGACAAATTTTACTTACATATTGCACGACTATGGAGTTAGGGATTCAATAGACCGAACATGTTTCATTTACCATAGGACCTGATCTTGAAATTTCTCAATTTGACGTCGTGTAACTCGAGTAAAAGTGTAAATGATGAATCTTCCATAGACATGTACTTGAATGATTTACAAGTTCATAATATCCTTAATGCAAGTATAAGATGGCTTTTAGTTTTAGAAGGATAAACAATATTTTTAATTAATTAAAAGTAATTTTCAAAATGTTTATAGTTACATAATAAAAAAAATAACTTTAAAACAATTTAATGAATTTTTATACGGAACAATTAACCAATACTTTTCTAAAAAATTTTATTGAAATATTTTACATACAAATAATATTATCAGAAGAAAGTGAGGATTTAAATTTACCCTCTATAATAGGAAACATGCAAATCTTTAGACCTCTCTTCATTTTGTTAGTGGTCTGCTTTCCTTTCTATGTTTTATAAAGAATTTTCGAAAATAATTATTTAATATGGCTCGTTTGCAGAATCGGAAAAGCGTTATATATATATATATATATATATATATATATATATATATATATATGTTTGAAATTGTTATAAAAACACGAGATTGATATTTCCTCTACATCTTTGAGATTGAGACTTGAAATAAATACCCCATTTTATTACATTTCTCTCATTTTTAAAAATTATTAATATATATTAAAATTTTCTATTAAATTATATATAAAAAATCAGTATTATCAATTATTTAAAATAACAAACAATATAAATACTAATTTTTTTATAACAATATATAATTTAAATGTATTTATTGATATTTAATTATCTCTAATATTACTATAAATCATTTTAAAAATAATTGAAATAAAAATAAAAAATTATTTGGACAGTCCTATTAACAAAATAAAACTCTATTTCAATTGATTATTTCTATATTAAAAGATACATTTTACGAACACTTCCAAATTTTATTATCAAACTCAATCTTTTATTATTTAAAAAAAAATCAAACACAATCTTTTAAATTTGAATTTTAAATCAAAATCTTTTTAATCCGCAATCAAACTTATAAAAACAAGAATTTCATTTTTCATTTTCTAGTAGATTCTTTATTATTATTTTTTAAATACATTTTTAATTACAATACCAATGGGGCTTTAACTATTTAAAATATACTCGGGGTCGCAAATAAATAGTAAATATACCACCTTTTAAAAAATAAAAATCGTGACTGTGATTATTATTATTTATTATTATTTTAGTACATCGTGATTTTGATTTTTGACTAAGGGAGTTCCAAAAACATGAGAGTTTAAAAAAAAAAAAAAACCAACACGCCAATATTAAATTAAAATAAAATTAATTTCTTCTTCTCCTTCACTTGTGATGCAAAACCCAAACCTGCAACTCCCTCCATTGCTACTCTCCAGTATCTTCTCGCTGTTTTGAGTTTTGAGCTATGATCTGCTTCAGAACCCTAATTTCTTAACCTTCCCCTTCCCTTATGGAGGACCCGGAGGGAGTTCTCAGCTTTGATTTCGAGGGCGGCCTCGATGCCGGCCCCACCAACCCCGCCGCCACCTCCTTGCCTCTCATCCAGTCCGACCCTTCGGCCCCGCCCGCCGCCTCCGCCGTCTCCAGCTCTGGGCCCGGCGCCGTGGGTCATGCCGTCACAGTTGAAGCGGGTGGCGCTGTGACCGGCAACGTCGGGAGCCGGAGGAGCTTCCGGCAAACTGTTTGCCGGCATTGGCTCCGCAGCCTATGTATGAAGGGCGACGCCTGCGGCTTCCTTCACCAGTATGATAAGTCGCGGATGCCCATTTGCCGGTTCTTTCGTCTCTATGGCGAGTGCCGCGAACAGGATTGCGTGTACAAACATACCAACGAAGATATCAAGGAGTGTAATATGTACGTTTGGAATTTGGAGTTGAATTTTAGTCTGTAATTCTCAGCGGTTCGTCTGATTTTGATTTTTTGTTGCTTAATCTCTTTGCGCGCTTCTTTTACTGGGAGGTGATCAATGTCCGCTCGTATTTTATGCCCTTCTTCTTTTCCTCTAGTTGTTGAATTGATTAATATTGTATGCAGTTCATAGATAGCAGAGTGGAATTTGCACTTCTCACTTTTTGATTTTTTCTTTTTCAATAAGAGGACATAGTTTTCTTTAATATATGAGAAGTTACAAACAAAATGTACTCTCTCCCATGAGGAGTGTACAAAAGAGCAGCAAATTTCAAAGGGAGAACAGTTACATAAATCATTAGACAATAGCACCAAGAAGAGAAACTTAAGCCAAATCATAAACCTCTTCCAATCTCTTCCCTTTGTTTGTTTATTCTATGATTCCTTTAACCACAAAGCCTACAGGATTGCCTTTAATTAGTTGCACTAATCCAAAGAATTTTTTTGCCTTTCACCAAACAACTGTATCATTTTTTCTCTAGTGGAACTATCAAAGACCTAAGAGAGATGGAAACAGTGAAATAGAGTATCCCTACATCTTTGCTATACGAGCAAAGTAATAGTAGGGTGCCGTGCCTTAGGCCTCGTCTAATTCCATACATCGTAGGTCTTCCCCTCCCAATTAGTGATTGCCATAAAACAAATTAAGTCTTAAGTTTAAACATGCGTATACCTATTACATGTAAAGTTGATATAATAGTTCGATATATTTGTGGTGCTAGATCTTAAAGGATCCTCATTCAAGTTCTTACAAAATGATTCCCTGGTGTGACTTGACTTAGACATAGAAATTTATTGCACTAACATAAATTTTTTAATTCTGCAGTCATCTCATTGGACCCATTTCAGTTATTTGAAGTATTACATTGAAAAACAATGGATATACATCTGAAGGTTAAACTCTGTAACTGCAGGTACAAGTTTGGTTTCTGTCCAAATGGTCCAGATTGTCGGTATAGGCATGCAAAACTTCCTGGACCTCCACCTCCAGTGGAAGAAATCCTTCAGAAAATACAGCACTTGAGTTCATATAATTATGGTCCCTCAAACAAATTCTTTTCACAACGGGGAGCTGGATTATCCCATCAAATCGAAAAACCTCAATTTCCTCAGGGGCCAGCCACAGTTAATCAAGGAGTGGTGGGAAAACCCTCTACAGCAGAATCTGCTAATGTCCAACAACCGCAAGCTCAACAGTCTGCTCAACAAACCAGCCAGACTCAGATACAAAGTCTTTCTAATGGCCAGCCCAATCAATTAAACAGAACTGCGACGTCTTTGCCTCAAGGAATATCTAGGTGTGTGTGAAGAGACCTGAAGTCTTTTTGCATGTTCTTTAACTCAGTTTTTTGTTTCAAGATATTCAGTCTTCTGTATTCTATCATATTTCTGCTGTTGTTTGCCTACTTTAAGCCCCAGTAGTCAACAATGTTTCCTTCATATCAATTTGTAGTCCTTGTAGCTGCCCTTGGGCTTGGTGAATGGTATCTTTCAAGGGTATTAGTTACATATTCTCTATCGAGCAATTAGATTCATATGCTCATGTTCCGTTTCAATTAGGATTGAGTCAGTTTTCAAGTGTCAAGAATCTAATATTTCCCCACGCGTTGATGGTTCTGTTATTGATTGGCTAGATCATTTTAGCTCATATCTCATACTGTGTTATATTGGGATCTCATTAAAATCTGTGGACTGATACTTGGAGACTCTTTTGATTTAGTTTGTAATACAATACTTGAAGTTGATGTAGTCTCTCCAAAAGCTTCAGTAATTATACTCTTTTTCTGATTTTTGTCAATTGAAGTTGTTTCTATAGAACTCAATCAACAAGGGGTACCCTTTTTGGTTCTGTAACCTTTTAACTTTATCTTCTGATAAAGACGAGTGGTTTCCCATTTTTCATATAATTTTAGAAAAATTCAGACTTTTACATGAACTTTTTAATAATCTGAATATCCTAATTTATTTTTGAAAGATTAGGTACTTTATTGTTAAAAGTTGCAACCGCGAGAATTTGGAATTATCTGTACAACAAGGGGTATGGGCAACTCAAAGAAGCAATGAAGCTAAACTTAATGAAGCTTTTGATTCTGCTGATAATGTTATTTTGATTTTCTCAGTCAATCGGACTCGACATTTTCAGGTGCCAATAATTCACTATTGCATTTGTCTATGACTACTTGGTCATTGGGGGCCAGAGTATATTCGTTTGAGATAATCATACTGATTTAGTATTGGCTGCTTAGGGTTGTGCAAAGATGATGTCCAGGATTGGTGGATCTGTCAGTGGGGGCAATTGGAAATATGCACATGGAACTGCACATTACGGGCAAAACTTTTCACTCAAATGGCTGAAGGTGATATTTCATTTCTTAGATCTATTCTTAGTTTTATGCATAAATTTATCACAACGGATCCCACCATGCTGTTGCATTTTAGTAAGTTACACTGATGCTGCTAATGGTTGTGCACTCTATTTTTTTTCTAAAAAAAAAAACTGCATTTACTCTACCAAAGATTATCAATGCAGTGCTCATTCACAATGAAAAGTTAAAGTTCAAATCTCAAACTAGATTATTTTGTGAAGGAGATTTTGTTACTGTCAATTTGAATTCTGTATGATGTGATGAATACTTTTGACTTTGTTACCTGCAGTTATGTGAATTATCCTTCCAGAAAACTCGCCATTTGAGGAATCCATATAATGAGAACTTACCAGTAAAGGTATAGTATCTTGAGCTTCATGAAATGCTTCTGTTTGACATCAAAATAGTATATTTCCATCTGCAGGTGTTTTTTTCATGCTTCTTTTATTCGTGTTGTGAACTCTTGAAAATATTTCCAGCTTCTTTTATCTCTTATGTTTATGATTATTATCTTGTTCTACACTTTCTGGTGATAATACATATTGCTGGTTTTGTTAAAGTCAAATTATCAGAAAGCGTACTTAAGAACTTGCGATCTTGTGAAAGAAAGTTTATCCTCGTTTTTTGGTATCTGGAAACTTTCTGTAAGAATTTAGTTTCATGGAAGTTACCTAAAAACGCCCCACTGCGATCTTTATTTTATTTATCTACTAGGAGTTGTTTTGCAGAGAGTGCTGAATGACTGCAAAGGAGTGACCATGGTGGATGTTGGAAGTTCTGAACTAAAAAGGACAGACAAATTGACTGTTGATACAATCACGAGGGATGGCAAATCCTGATTGACCTTACCCTTCAATATAATAGCATGAGTTTAGAACTTGTGAAAATCACACTAGGTTTTCCTATAACAGCAATAAGCAAAACATTTGACTATCAGAACTATTGCAAGTAATATAGGCATCATCTTCCTTCTAAAATAACCTTTTGCAAATTATTTCGTTGACTGAAATTTTAAACATTGGCCCAAACATAAAGACTTAAAAGAAGGATTGAATCCAATAAATACATGAAAGACTTCTAATGGAATCTTGAACATGTACCCTGATCCTTCAGGGTGCAGAACAGCAACCATATTTCCAAGCTGAGACATGTGGACTATAATTGCAGATTTGTAACCGTGGCTGGGGAATTGAGTTGGTATTTGAATAACTGACTCCCATCTCCCCCCTCCCTATAGCATGGAGCAAGTGATAGTTGTTGGAAGGATAATGCTGGAATGTTTCTTCAAGTAGTTGGGTGTTTGGATTTTGCAAAAACTTTAACGGTGATGAATTGGAAGAATGTAAAGAGCTTCTTATGTTCATTTTTGATTGTTTTCTCTTTTCAAATGTAGTATAAGAGATTCTCTTTCACCATGGGATTGTGTAGAGCCAGGTTTTATCGATACTTTAATACCTTACGGGAGCTAGGGGTATTTTCATGGTCAGTCTTCCCTGGTATCAGTAACACTACCAACGAAATTGGCTTGTGCTCTATAGGAATTTTTTCAAAGATGTCAACCACTTGTTTTGGACCCCAGGTGGTCTTCCCTAGTAAGGTGCATGACCTTATCCTATGCAGGTTAAACAAGAAGGCCATTACTTAGATACCAATGTTTTCAAAGTGTAACACACTCTGTTCTAGAGTAGGGATGCAAAAATACCTTCCAGGGTCACTTGTTTGGTACGGAGTTGGGTCGAACTGTCGAAGACCAGGAAATAATTTCTCCCCATTTTTTTGGGATGAGGAAAAATTTCCCACCCTGCTTTGGTCTTGGAAATTGTCAAATATTATTTTATAAACTTCTTGTGGCCTTAGCCTCCAATACACTTCGGGAATTTATTAATCACAGAGCTAGTTTCCTCAAAGCCGCTCCCATTTTGAGGACATTACCTCAACTCCTTATTAGCCTCTTCAAAGATAGGGCAACTACATTTTTCTCAAAGAGTTAATGGGAGGTAGTACTCCATGTTGTTCACAAGATTCAGTCAGTCTTGATTCTTTTATTAATACAAATGTTGAATATTTTAACTAGTAAATAGAGTGGGGGACAAGGATTAAATAATCCCTATGGAGCTGGAAGTAAGGAGCGCTTCTTATCCCTACTCTCCATGCGATATGTTTTCTGTTTGCTTGGGTTGGGGTGAGAGGTGCATAAAATAACACCACCCGAGTAAAGTGAGATACACAATGTGAAATAGAAAAGATACACGTTATATATTGTTAATAAAAATACATGGCGAAATGTAATAAAAATATATAATTGGGCATAAATAAGTTTGTGGAAAAATTACTACGATGGCATGTACTTTGAGGAGATATAAATGAAAAAGGAATACTTTTAGTCAAAAGTACTAAAAAGCCCAGAAGATGGTTTTTCCCCATGCAAGAGGCTACAAAAAGCCAATAAGAAAGGGAGAAAAAAGTGGTTGAGGCGATCACCCGAGTGAAAGATGTTTTGTAGACAGCAAATGCACCTTGGCTTGCTGTCACTATAGGTGATTGATTGGGATTACCTTGAAGACACTATTACATGCTAGGACTTTCCTTTGGAAAGATCCAGTGCAGGTTAATCATTCGGTACATTTTGGGTACTGAGTGAAAATTTTATGGATTCACTTTGATATTTAGGAGGATTAGGAAAAGATAGCGAAAGGCCAGAGTCTTGTTGGATGGTGGGATTCGATAGTAATTGAATTGAGAAGAAACGAGATGATGATGTTGATTGCACATCGGATGGGATTGCTTTGATGGCTTCACTTTGCCTTAACTTTGAAGGAGTTGAAAGCCATCACATTTATTCTTTTATATGTTCAATTGGGACCCTGTTTCTGCTCATTTGGTTTGAAACTGCACATTGTCTTGGTTTGTTTCCACCCCACCATTCTCATGTACATGGAGGATTATTTTTGGAAGAAATGATATTTTTTCCTTCATAACTTGTTCTGAAATCAGTGGAAGCATTGGATACTAATTGAGCCATCATTTTTCTTTTTGTACTCTTACAAGTGCAGATCAGTAGAGATTGCCAAGAGCTAGAGCCCTCAATTGGTGAACAGCTGGCTTCTTTGCTTTATCTTGAGCCAGATGGTGAACTCATGGTATGCTTCCTTTGTTCATTCTGGTTGAAGAATCGGAAAACTTTGGAATACATTCCTATTACACAATAACGATTATATACATAAGCAGGGGAGGAAGTGGATGAAGGCAGCTTGAGGATTCTTTCTTAAGTGTGTTTTTATTATTTTTGTGTACAGGCAGTCTCGCTAGCAGCAGAGTCGAAACGAGAAGAGGAGAAGGCAAAGGGAGTTAATCCTGATATTGGAAGTGAGAACCCAGACATCGTCCCATTCGAGGACAATGAAGAAGAGGAAGAAGAAGAAAGTGAAGAGGAGGAGGAGGAGAGCTTTGGCCAGTCCGTTGGTCTTCCAGCTCAGGGAAGGGGAAGGGGCAGGGGAATCATGTGGCCCCCACACATGCCAATGGGACGTGGTGCCAGACCCTTCCATGGAATGCAGGGTTTTCCACCTGGGATGATGGGTCCAGATGGGTTGTCTTATGGACCTGTTACACCTGATGGATTTCCCATGCCAGACATTTTTGGCATGGCTCCCCGTGGTTTTGGTCCATATGGTCCTCGATTCTCTGGTGATTTTATGGGTCCTCCATCTGCTATGATGTTTCGCGGACGTCCTTCTCAACCTGGGGCCATGTTCCCCCCTGGTGGTTTTGGCATGATGATGGGTCAAGGACGCGGTCCCTTCATGGGCGGGATGGGGGTTACTGGTGCTAACCCAGCTCGACCTGGCCGGCCTGTGAGCGTGTCTCAATTGTATCCACCTCCAGCAGTACCCCCATCTCAGAACATGAATCGGGTTGTGAAGCGGGATCAGAGGGGGCCGGGTAATGATCGAAATGATAGATATATTGCGGGTCCAGACCAAAGCAAGGGCCAGGAGATGCCAGGAAGTGGACATGATGATGAGATGCAATATAAACAGGGATCAAAAGCTTATCCTGATGAGCAATATGGCATAGGAACCACGTTTAGGAATGAAGAGAGTGAAAGCGAGGACGAGGCGCCTCGAAGGTCAAGGCACGGAGAGGGGAAGAAGAAGCGGAGAGGCTCTGAAGGAGATGCAACTGTAGTCTCTGATCAGTGATCTCCTGTAGTTGTAATATCTGGCCGAACAGCCTCCGTTTCGCTGCTGACCAGGAGTATCTTCCTACTTAGGCAAGGCATCATTGAACTTAACTTAGTGTTGTAAGTTCTAAAATTGGAGTACTTGACCTTCATCTCATTCTCTTTTCCTCATTTGTTTTATACATTCATTTTTAGGCAACTTCTCTAAACTGATACATTTCTGAGGAAAGTCATAATCCATACATTGTTTTACAAATCTGTAAAAGAATTCTCACAGGATGTTCTGAAGGGAAGAGTCTCATCATAAAGTCGATATTCGAATTCGATGATGTGAAGCTGTTATGTTTTTCCCCTTGCACCTCCATTGTTTAACTTCTTCCCCCATTACAGAAAGGAAAGAAAAGGGGGGAGTCTGCAATGTATATGTAAAATCCATGTCTGCATCATACAAGATGTGTTATGTCTATGATATGGCACTGGCAGGCCCTTTTTCATTTTTGGTACTTTTATTTTACTCTAGATTTGGTTTGCCTATAGTAAGAAGACAGATGAAGTTTCTCATTGCACTATCAATTGTTTGCTTCTATTTGTAGTTTTGTAACACTCTGTCTTGCACATGACATTAAAATTAATTGTATTTGTAAAAAAGTGATTATGTATCAAATATTGTGATATTTTATATCTACGAGAAAATAAAAGTAATTTTCGAATAAAATTTGATAATTACTATCTTAAAGTTTAGAAATAGTTGCTAATAAAATCTATAGCTTCAATTTCATTAAAAATTTATCTATTTTTGTGATTCTTTAAAAAAAAAAATTTATTATTATTTTTATTTTAAGAGGCTAAATACTTGTATTAAATTTTATTAACATACATGAAAATATTTTCTAAGCTTGTTTGATGGCACATAATCACTTGGGGTTGCATGGTATGAGAAATTGATTAGATTTTAGAATGGAGATAACCACCTCCCTTATACAATGTTAAAATTAATCCACTGCCTAAACAGAACAAAATTGAGAATATTATTGATGTGGAGGTGAAAATTCCAACCTTGGATATTTGAGGGAAAAAGAATGTATATATCTTACCAACTTGAACGTATTAATTTTTATTCTAATACTTTCAATTTCATTGAACTATAAAATAAGGGAAATGTTATAATATTTACTTTCTATTTATCTTTCGTAATATTCACCCATTGATTTTTTTTTCAGAGAGATCTATTCCCATGCTTTCTCAAGTGATGAATATAATGATTATCCCTTGTCTTTGTACCGTTTTGGAAATCCTATCAGTATTGTACAAGAAAACATATCTTATAATTCATTGGCATCCCTAAATCATATTAAATTCAAATTCAAAGGTAAAAGTTGATCTATTTTCAAACAAAATTTATTAGTATCAATTAGTAATTGAATTATATTGAAGTTGACAATAGATAACTTGTCGATGTGAGTGAATTTAACAAATTTAAACACGATCATCTAATTTCCATATTCTAGAATAAAAAATCAATCATTAAAGTAAGTATGTTAAATTCTAAATCTGGTCATGAGTGTAATTTCAATTTAGTCATTATATTTTATGTTTAATTTCACAAATTATATATACGTTTGCAAAATTTAAAAGAAAAAGTGGCCTGACAATAAACTAATGTTTTTTATTTGACTAGTTTTGTTAGTTGAATATATTAGAGACTAGGGCCAAGTAAAGGAATAGAAGAAAATGAGTGAGTTTTTCAAATGGATAAAATATAGTTATGTGATATTTAAATATACATAGACAAGATTCAAATTAAGTTCAAACTATAGGAATCAAATTAAAACTTTTAAAATATTAGGGATCAAATTGAAATTATACCTAAACTACCTTACCCAAATTTGTAATTTAACCCCTAATTAAGTAATTAATGTAAAAAAAAAAACAGAGAGAGAAAAAGTAATTGGGTAAAATACAGAGGAGACGACAGCCCATTTGGGCATTGGAAGGCCCAAAAGCTAATTCGCCTCTCACTCGTTTCTGGTTTGTCGTCTTCACAAAACCCTTCCATAAACCCTAATCCTCTCTTCCTCCATCTTTTCAATCACAAACCAAGCCTTCAAGCTTCACCTTCAGATTCAGCCCATTTTTCACCCTAAAAGAAAAGTTGAATAGTGAAAATAAAAGAGAGAAATCCCTTCTGGTTTCGCATCTTCTTCCCTCAATTTTCACGATACTCAGGCGGCGCTCCTTTCCCAAAACTGACCATCTTTCAGCATTCCCGCATCTTCACTGCGGCCGGCAGGTGACGGCGGTTTTCTCTCTCGGTACGTTTACTTCCTCTCTCAAGTTGCTGCCTTACTGCTATGTTTGTCATCGCTGCATTCTCTTAAAAAACCCATTTTCATG